GCTTAGATTGGTTTCTACTTGAGGGCAGTCTCATTTTGTGCTATACATCTCACTGCTTTCTTTCCTGGGACAGATACCATTCTGAGAACTTGTTCAGGGTTGGGTGAAGTAAAAGTCATACTGTATTACCTTAACAACCAGAATATATCGCTCAGGTGGATGGTTGCTGACTTCATTCTTCAGCCGCAGGACAGCCTTCACCAGCCCCATGACATCACTATACACGGGATCGTCTGTTCGATCAAGATTGGCTGTGGGAGCTGGCTGCAGAGACATCTGAAAAAGAGGTACACGGGTACTCTCCAACCAGCATTCCCCCAACCCAGAGGCATTCCTCTTCCTTATTACTCATCATTCTTGTTAATCCCCCTTTTTACTTTATTACCATGTAATGTAGACTTTTGGATTTTGGAGGGCTTTCAAAGTGACATAAAACAACAATTAGAAATGCAATAGAACATCTACCAGAATAAAGTCTGCATTTCATTTCTAACTGATATCTAATGTCCATACTATTAAGCATATTCAATACCATCTATCAGGATTTTAATTTTTTCCCTTTACATGTACAGATTTTTAAAGATTCTATTGGACTTTTACCGATTCTGAGATTCCTCCAAGCATGCTAGTATCACTTCCTCTGGTAGCCTGTTTTTGCACCAGTTTTTTTTTTGTCAGGGTTCACTAGGCTGGGGTGGGCACTTTGCAAGAATTTTTGGCATAAAGAAAGAGTCCTTCCCCCCCTCCTTCTATTTTTGTATAATTTTTTATTTATTTCCAAGATTAAAATACAGATTTAAGAAAAAAAATTACAATATAAAAACAGAAACAAATAAAAAAGTGTGTAAAACAAACTATCAAGCATGCGCCCAAAATATGTGTAGGAGAGAGAGCTCATGCTCAAAGCTTAGAAGGAGTTGTGTTCTCTGAAAGGGTAGCAGCAAGTGCTATGAATGCTCTCCTAGCCTGTGTATGTAGCCTGGAACTGGCAGCAAAGCTACACAGAGATAGACACCACACACAAAACAAACACAGGGAAAGCAAGGGCAGTGACCATGTTGAATTTCTCATTGGATAGGTCAGCCTTACCAGGTAAACCAGAAAGGAAACACAACCAGGAAAACCAATTCTACTTTATTGTAAAGTTATAGTAACAGAATCTTTTAAGTCTGAGAGCAAAACTTCTCCCACCATCACCTTTACAGCCTTAAAAACTAGGAAGGGTCCCTCCTAAGCCTCTTGCTTTGTGGGCTATGCGGTCTCTTATCTGGCTGTCCTCTAAGCAGCATCTCTTCATCCCATCTCCCAAGCTCTTTCTCACATACCATTACATCGTGCATGTCAGCATTACAAGGAAAGGAGCTTTAGAGCATCCATGCATGGTGCAAGGCTCCTCTCTGAAATCTTTGTGTCTCTCTTATGTTTGGTCCCTCAGTGTTACCATGTTTCCTCGAAAATAAGACCCGGTCTTATATTATTTTGCTTTCAAAAGAGGCAGTAGGTCTTATTTTTGGGGGATGTTTTATTTTTTTCCTGATACTTGCCTTGCGGCGGCGGCACCAATAGCCCAGTCCAGCAGGAGCTTGTGTGGCTGCTGGCACACTTCTGTGTCCGCTCACGGCAGGAGGTCATGTGGCCCGCCACACCCTGCCGCCGCCATGAGGCGAGGCAGGTGGGGGAGAGGGTGGAGCTGCCCCAAATGCCCCAAAGGCATCCAAACACTTTTCACCCAGAGGGAGGCTGGAAGCTTCGTCTGCTTGCAAATGATGCTTAGAAACCGGGTGAATCGGTCCATCTCCAAGCACCCCATTCACAAGCAGACGAAGCTTCCAGTCTCCCTCTGGGCGAAAAGTGCATGGCGTGTCCGGATCGCCTGCCTCCCCCTGCCTCTGCCTCCGCGCTCGGACTTACCTGCGCTGTGCTAAGGGGCAAGCAGGCTAGGGGTGCTGCTGGACTCTGTTGGCCACCATGCACTTGCCGCCGTTTGTGCTGGCCATGTTCACCCCCTCGGGCTTATTTTTGGGGTAGAGCATATATTAGGCCCACCCCAAAAAATCAGGCTAGGGCTTATTTTTGGGGTAGGGCTTATATTAGGCCCACCTCAAAAAATCAGGCTAGGGCTTATTTTTGGGGTGGGTTTTATTTTCAGGGAAACACAGTATATTAATAGAAAAACAAGGCTAGGACGGTAAATGTAATGGGCTGTGAATAATCTTGAGAGAGGAGGAAGAACTATAGCCTGGACAATGTCTAATAGTTGAAATCTAAACCAGTAATCCATTTTGAGAAAGCATTTCAAAATTAACTTCCCTAGTTCTCTAGAATGTAAAGGCAGGGTATAGGAGATGACCAGGCTGAACTGTGAGGGAGGAGTCAAATGCGTCATCAGCCATGAGTACTTTTGCACTCACAAGAGATCTAAGTCCAGCCCACCTTGAATTCCTTTGACTCTTATCTACCGCCAAATTGCTTGGCCCATTAGTAATTCAGATTCTTGTAGCAAGCTTAAGCTTGCAATAAATTTTCATACTCATTTGAACCGCCTGGATTTCCTGATCACCCTAGGACTTGACATAAGGAGGGGGAAAGCACTTTCCAACTTGCAAATCTACCTTTGAGGTAGTCCAGACTATAAATACTAAGTATGAGGATAGATCAATTAATGCATTTGGAAACTCACACCAGATCTCTTGCATGAACTGCTTGATTTCTGGCTTCAGATTAAGAAGAAATAGATAGTAAAAATAAGCACCAATTATGTACCTGTGGTCCAAACCTGGGTGGCTTTTTGGGTGGTCCTGTAAACTCAGCTAAGCCATCAATAAAGAGAAACAAAAGAAATTATTATTATTATTATCAATAACATTGTGAGGATCATAATATCATTGTAGCAGCAGCTATGAAGTGTTGAAAGATTTCTTTAAAAAGAAAACATCCTCCTGTTTTTAATTAACCAATTAATAGATTATATACACACATATATTATACTTTGCAGCCCATAGAGCAGACATGTCAAACACTATGCCTGGGGGCCGGATGTGGCCCATGAAGTGGTTTCATGTGGAGCCATCCTGGAAACAGTGAGGGAATGGCCCCCGCTGCCTTGGCCCTGGCCCAGGCCATCCGGGAGCCAATGTACAATTTTGTGGTGGCCATCTATGCTGAAACACATTCAGTCTTAGTTCCACAAGGCTATCTGGAAACAGAGAGGAACCAGGAGAATCTTGAGCAGCAGCCTTGAGGAAGTGGGGCTGGGCTTGGTGCCGCAGGTGCTCAAGGGCCACATCCAGCCTGGCCCTTGAGCACCTGCTGCCCAGAGGCCCTTTGACCTCTGCTGCCCAGGGCTCCGGGCAGCCCGCACCACCAACCCCCCCCCCCCCGCATGGCCTGAGAGGAACAGTGAGGCTCCTCCAGTGGACCATGCCTTGGCACTTGCCCCGGTCCCACCCCCTTCTGCCAGAGACCTTCAGATCTGTCCCACTCCTGCCCAGGCCCCCACAGGCCCCCTTAACGCGAATGACGTAGAGCTGGCCATGCCCACCCAGTAGGCCACACCCACTCCATCCACGCCCACCCAGTAGGCCGCACCCACCCTGGCCACACTCTCCCGGCCCCCTGAGGGCAACCACAATGCTGATGCGGCCCTCAATGAAATTGAGTTTGACACCCTTGCCATAGAGCAATATTTTTCAAACTTGGCAACTAAGATGAGCAGGCTTCAACTCTCAGAATTCCCTAGCTGATATTCCCATATCTTAAACTTGTCAAATTTGAAAACCACTGGCATAAGGGGTAAACATCCCTCACTGTACAGAAGGAGAGGCAAAATACACAGAATCAATGGAAAATAGATAAAAAGAATAGATAACACTAGTTTATGAAGAACAGTCAGCCTGGGAGAGATACTCACTGTAGCTTGTCTCCTTCTCTGGCAGTTTCTGAAAAGAATAAAACAAAATAAAATTAATAAACCCTTTCATGCCTGCAGCACAATGCTACACAAAGGCTTCATAAGGAAGCTCCAGCTTTCCAAGGATTGAAATTCTAGTCCACCAAGCAGAGGAGTTATTTGGAAGTTTGACGCATTAGAGACAGATCACTTCTAGACAGCTGTCTGGAACCCTCTTTTATATGGTATGGAACACATTTTTTGCATCAGTAAAAAGAGCTTTCCTTTTCCTCCATTGGAGGATAAAGCAACGGGCCCATAAACCATTGAGAAGTTGATGTTGGAGAGAAGGAAGGAAGAAAAGTCAAGCAAAGCCCCACAGTTCCCACTTGTCAGAAGTCAAGCAAAGCTCCACAGCTCCCAAAACAGCAGTATAACAATGCTTCAGTAAACAAGTACCATTGTATTGCAACCCTCAAAAGAACTGGGAAGTTCTAGGAACTACAGCAGTGTTTCTCAACCCTGGCAATCTTTAAGATGCATGGACTTCAGTATCCCAAACCCGTACCAACTGGGGAATTCTGGGAGTTGAAGTCCAGGCACTTTTAAGTTGCCAAGGTTGAGAAACACCGAATAACCGCAAAGGGTGGTTTGGCAGTAAATATGGAGGGATAAAGGAGAGTCCATTACATGTAACAAGTCTTAGGTGAGATTGTGAACTGCCAATCTGGAAGAAAATTCTAGTATTAGGAACAATAATGAAAGAAAACGGTATTTAAAAATAAAGTAAATACAGGTAGTCCTTGACTTAACAATAACAATAGTAATAGCACTTATATACCGCTTCACAGTGCTTTACAGCCCTCTCTAAGTGGTTTAGGCAGTCAGCATATTGTCCCCAACAATCTGGATCCTCATTCTACCAACCTTGGAAGGATGGAAAGCTGAGTCAACCTTGAGCTGGTGAGAACTGAACTGCCTAACTGCTGGCAGTCAGTAGTTAGCAGAAGTACTATTGCATTCTAACCACTGCGCCACCATGGCTCTTCCCCTTTTTGTCCTTTTTGTCACAATTATTAAGCGCATCACTGCAGTAGTTAACTGAATCATTGACTTTGCTTGCCAGAAGCTATCATATGGCCTTAGAAAAGTGCAACTGTATTAAATACATGCCAGTTGCCAGGCATACAAATTTTGATCACATAACTATAGGGAGGCTGCAACAGTCATAAATGTGAAAACTGGTCATTCACTTTTATCAGTGCTGTTCAACTTCAACAGTCACTAAACGAATGTTTGTAAGTGGAGGTTTACTTATATATATATATATTTCCATTCTAGGTTTACTCTCAGTGTATGAGATTTGTTTCTCTACCCATTTGGGTGCAAGGTGAGCAAATTAGCCCTATATATAGTGTTGTATGCAGTTATACAGAGGTGCATCCCTCAAAAAGCATTTTATGACCCTAGGTCAACACTTTTTTAACTGTAAAATTTTTAAATTGCAATGCTGAAAAAGTTCATAATTACATCTCATTATGAAATGGATTGGCTTGTATTTGGATGTACTAATAAACAAGTGGCTTATTTCACAAAAGTGTTAGTTCAGGACTTGTGCACGAACTTGTCTGAACTATAGCTTATATAATTGACAGGGGGAACTTAAAGTAAGTTTGAAGGACAGTTGAAAACAGTGCCAAATTGGGACAAAAGCCATTGGTTCTTAAAAGGAGCTGGTTGAAAATCTGATTCTAAAACCTAATTCTCCAGAAAGTTTACAGAAAAAAAATATCTGACTCCATATTGATCTGGGAAGATTGCTCAAGGCATGATGTTACTTTTTTTTATTTGTGAGCTGGCAGAAAAGTATGCCAACATAAATAACGTTCCCCTCACCTCCAATTTCCTATTATGTTTTTGAAAATTATGGCCAGCAAGAAGAAGCTGAAGAAGCTTTTGCTGAGGAAGTTTCTTGAATGAGAAATGAAACATCTTCAAGGAAAAAAACAAAGACCAGTTGCCTTTTGAAAAAGCACTTTTGGAACAACCGTGACCTGGATTTCTGAGAACCTCTATAGACACATGGCCAGCAAATGGTGCTGTCCTTACTGTTCTAATGTGGAACAAGTTAAGGACAGCAGTTGGTAGATTTCCCTGTTTAATTCAGTTAATTAATTTAGAGGCTGCCCAGCTCCAAATACCTCTGGGTGGCTTACACTTTAAAAGCAAGAAATAATAAAAATTGAGAAGCAGATCATGGGCGTCATGAAGAGAAAACCATACAGAACAATATTTGTGTCCCATTTAAAACAACTTAGTTTTGTACTTTCAGTCATAACTTTGCTACCTTACACTGTACATCAATTTGCAAGTTATTTTTACAAGCTGGCACAAAGTGCACAATTTCACAAACATTTATCCTAATAACCACAGTTCGGCATAAAAGCAAGTCTAATATTATTGAATATATTAATGGTTTATTTATATATGTTCAGACCTGCATCCTTATATTAATTATTTATAAATTTCCAGACCTGCATACTTCTCACCAATAGTGAAAAAAGTAAGACCTGTGAAAAAGTGCACTTTTTTATTTTATTTAGGTGCTCATAGTTTTGGAAAATACACTTTTAAATAGGGGAAATGCAGAGAAGGAGACCCTGCTGCTGAATCAAAATAATAAACATCCTTTGGCTGTTTTGTGTGAAAAGAATTTGGATATTTTGTTGCATTTTATACCCATGATAATTTGATTTAGTGGCTGGCTAATTTCTATGACTGTTTTTCAGACTTTATCTGGTTTTGAAATTCTCAGCAGAAGAAATAAACGCTACGAAAGAGTGTAGAGAGCAGAGGTTGGGCCCTGATGCCAGAAAAAATGGCCCTTTGAGTAAACTTACTGGGCGGGAAGAATTGCTCTTCACAGAAGCCATGGGGTCCTGTGATAGAGAAGAGGGGCAAAATCAATAATAATAATAATAATAATAATAATAATAATAATAATAATAATAATAATAATAATAATAATAATAAAAAAAAAAACAAGTATTTTGAGAGATGTACTGAATGAAGAAATAACTTGCCATTCAAGGTGAAACCTGGAGCACCTAAAGCTGCAAAACCCAGCTTTCAACCCAAGAGAACCCATTTAAAGAAATGCTAAATCTCAGTCGGAATAGAAGAAAAACCAAGCTTTGCTATTTGGAACCCCTAGGAGGCTGATCTACAAAAAGGAAGAAAATGTCTCTTAAGTAGTTCCACACTAGCTATTTTAAGCTTCTCCATATGGGTCCTACAGCTGGTTTTTCAGCATTGTATAACTCTCCCACCCAATCTCCTTTGGTTTCTGCCAGAAACAACAAAAGGACTGTGTTATGTGAAACAACCTTCCCTGAATTTAGTAAGATTGTTTAGCTGGAAGGTAACAAATCTTATTTTCCCAATGGTTCTGGTTCTGCCTCTTTCACTCACTGACCAAAGCTTTTTCTTCCTGCCGAAGCCACTGATAGTCTTCCACCATCTGCTTCTGCTGTTTATCCAGGAGCTGACGCATTTTAGCTCGTTCCATCTCCCACAGTTTCTGGGCTTCTTCCCGGCTACTGGGCCTAAGGAAATCCTCCTCCTTAGAAAAGAAGGAAAAGAATGGAAAATGAGAGGCCTTTTTCCTGAGATAGCACTTCCAGATCTCTGCTTGGTTACCAGTCCTACAAATTACCTTAGGGATTGGGACACAAGTGAGCCAGAAGTTAAAGCGATGAGATATGATTTTGATATGAATTTCAGGGAGGGGTCAGCTGAAAGATCATTCAGGCTACCATATATGGGCTGCAAAAATGTTGATGACCACTACATGGTAGATACAGATTTTTCTGTATCTTTTTGCTGCTATCTAGTGGTTATCAACATTTTTGCAGCTCACACAGAGAGAAGCCTAACAATATCTCACTGCAGAGGTTTGGGCCCTCAGAGGGACGAGGGACAACTTACAGTTTTAGATAGCCATTGTTGAAGGGGTAGGAAGAATTTGCTGAGTAGCTTTTACAGGGACCATAATGTGGGAAAGATTAAGATTGATCTGACTTTCAGAGTTTAAGAAAAAAGGGAGAATTGGGGGAATTTAAAGGATACATTGAAAGTTTAATTAGTCTAAAATCCAAATAAATTCTGGAATCATACCAAAACAAAAATGGAGTACAACCTTTTATGAGCATTCTGTAGCACTTTCCTTTTGGCAAAATAAGTAGCAAAGCCAATTGGCTTCAACAGTACTTCAATAAATAATTCCAATGTACTTCAAATATGTTTGTCAGCGGAAATTGCTAACAGTAAAGCAGATTAAAAGTGTCTGTCATTCCATTTGCAGAGGAAGGATGTTCCAACGTGCAGCTCTGGATCTATTTAATTGCCGAACCATTTCGTCCAACAAAGAAATCTAAAATGCACTGAGGACAATTCCTCAAATGATATTTGTTCCTATGTTTGGTCGTATCACTTTTCTTGTTATGGGCACACCCCCACTTTTTGTTTACTTCGTAAATGAAACCTGGGGTGAAGGGTGTTGGATTTCTTGAATTTTTTCTAAGAGCCACAGCTCAGAAGTAAGTGAAGGAATAGAAGTGAAAAAAGAAAAAAAGGTTGTACTTGGTTAACATGAATTTACACATCAGGATGCTTCTTTATTTAATATGTTTTTATTATTTTTGTTTCCTGAACAAAAGAACATCTTGGCTATATAAGATTTATTATTATATGGGTCAACATTACAGGCAAAGAACTAGCAATTTCAAGCACAACCATTCCTCCCCCCCCTCCATGTCAACCCTATAAGGCAATAGAACCTTCTAGAACCTTTCTCAGTAGATAGGACTGTAATGAAAGCAGGCTAGCAGGGCTAATGAATAAAAAAGACATGTAAGCGAATTAGGCAAGAACATTTGCATAAGCAGTAAAAAGAGTAGCACAAAGGACAACAATAGCTATAAAACAAACCAAGATAAAGTCCTCCTTCCAGAGCATAGCTTCTCACATACATCTGTTAATTTGTTGCCTGTACCTCTTAAATGATATAGGCCTGCTTTCAATTGTATATAACAAGCCCACAAAGGCTTATGTTCTATCTAGTTCATCTCACCCACCTTCATTATTGGAGTTTTTTTTATATTCTGGCCATTTGTTGCTAGAGAACCTCAGCCATACCTTGGGTGAATGAATGGTATCACCTAGCAATATGCATGAAAATGGAGCCAACTAGTCTCCTGGACTCATAACTAGTCATCCTTTATGGAATGAGTCAGGTTGCTTGTTGTCTAGCAACATATATTAGGAACTTGGGGAAAGACTGAAACTTTTGTCAATGTGACAAAGGAAACAGGGCAGTTACTTCAGAATGTTTCATAGCGTTCTCTGTTTAAGAGCGAGGTTTTGTAGTTTTTTATTTAACTGGAGAAAAGCATCATAATGAGAAAGTCTGTTCTTAGGCTTCCACATCTATCTGTACTTGAATGTTTGAATGCTAGAAGAAAGCCTAGATGCATCTTATTTATGTACTGATTGCATGGATATATTCTGCCTTTTTTCAAGAGGGCTCACATAGGAGAGGATCTCCCAAACAATGGCTCTATGAAGCATACTGGGCTGAGAAGAATTCATCAGAGAAATCTCTAGTAAAATAGGACTTAAACTTGTGTTGCCCTGCCCAAACCCAACACTTAGCCTCTACACTATACTGGTACCCAATGCATCTGACAACTTTCATATGACATCTGGGAGTTTGACAATTGACAACCCATCAACAGTGAATGGAGATTCATTCTACTGAAGTTGAGCATATGAAAACTCAAGCTGTGTTTTTGTCATCTTAGTCACAAAATTCAGTTCATAACCCAATCTCAGGATCAATTATTATTTTTTAAATTCAGGAATGGATATGTGCATCTATATCTGTGGTTACATGTTGGTGTAGAGTTGTGCATGTTAAAATAATTCAACTGAAAGACAGGTTGTCAGGTCTTAGAGCTTCAGAACGTGATCCTCAGGGATTAAGTGTGAAAAATAGAGTGCTTAAGGGATTAGAGTCCAGGGTCTGAAGCTGAACAATACTTAGGGCCATTCCACATTAGCACCTAAGTATGGCATAAAAATATCCTGGCAACCTCTTTTTTTCTTCTATATCCTCATGATATTGGCTTGATCTCACTTTCAATCCATAAAGGCAACTTAAAGCTCCCATTAGCTTTCCTGGTATTAATGGTTTTCCCCTATTAAGCAGCTTATTAGTGATGGTGGTAGAATAGTTGTGTGGTGAACTTGGGGAGAGGTACAGATGGCTAAATCCATCTATCTAATCATCTGCCAAAACTCATTGCCTCCCACCATATTGAGATGAAGGATAGTGCATGTTTTCATTTTGGCTAGTGATGTGTGTGGAAAGGGAAGTCAGGGGAATGCATCAGTCTCTCTTGTCAACATGCTCTATGCACTGTAAGTAACAGCAATATCATTTGCCACAAGTGTGCCTGTAGTAGGCAAAGGACCACAAATGGGAGAAGGAATTTTCATACCCACTGTAGCTTTCTGCCAGCTTAAGGGCTGGTGGATAGTACTTTATTTCAGTCATGAGAAAAAGCTCTGAATCACCCTATGGTGGAACCTGATGAACAGGGGAGGAAAGCTAATAACAAAATCTATCAGGAAGCCAAGCAACATATTGATTTTCTTCCTTGGGCACTGCTTTTCATTTTGAAAGCGAAGTGTGAAATATTTCATGTAAGTAGCCTTAACATGATTCGTTCCAAAAATAAAATAATCAGCAAGTGATCCCTCCCCTCTGTTTAGATTAGCCTCCTGGTCAACAGGAGACAGTTTTAACAGTTTCCCCTGAAGGCAGTATCAAGTCAGATTGGAATGGTGGAGGATGGGTTCCATTTTTTAATGATTTATTTATTATTATTGTTGTATTGCTGTTGTTGAAGAATGTTGTTATTATACATTTTATTAATTGTTCTGGGCAGCTTTGGGAGAAGAGCAGTCTCAATGGAAATATCCTCATAGAAACAAATGTTCTCATTGGAGCTGTAGGTGTGCCAATTAAGCCATAAAACATTTCATCTAATTTGGACTTGAGATTTAATTTTTGAGAGTATGTGTGGTGACTTGGGGTAAAACTTGAATTCAAGTAATTTGACCTGTCTTCAGAAAATGAGAGCACCCAGCATGTCATTAACACTGTACTGTAATCTTAACTTACAATAATTCTGTAAAGTATATCAGTTAGAAGGGGAGCCCAAGGCTAAGAGGCAGAGGACCAAGGAAAGCCTTTTTGAAGTTGGGTGGTCTTCAGAAAGGTAATATATAAATAAATCAGGTTTGTGTGAGATTCTAAAGTGACACCTTGCCTTCTCCCATTGAACCATGATCCATGCACTTCTGGGTGGTCATTAAGGTATTGGTCAGAATGGTAAGACCCATCTCCCGGAGCGGCAAGTCCATCTTCAGCTACAGAAATTCACTTAGGGCCAGTCAGTTACTCTCAGTCCTACCTACTTCACAATATTGTTGCTGTGAGGAAAAATAAAAGGGGGGCTGCTACCCATATAACTTTAAGCTTCTGAGTGAAAGACAGGATATAAATCAAATAAATAGGATAATTGGGAGATATCTTCCCATTTCATCAATAAAAACCCCATCTTTTTTCTTATTTCAGTTCCTTTTCATTACTGTGCTGACATTCCTCATCAATTTTATCAGGTTGAAAATTACTAACTTGAAGCAAACTCTCTTGAAAATTCATTGAAGGAAATATAAAACATATAGTATATGGGAGATTGCAACTCTCTAGTCTGACAACAACCTACCAAGGTCAGCCAAGGCTTCTCTCTGTCTCTGTCTCTCTCTGTCTCTGTCTCTCTGTGTCTGTCTGTCTGTCTCTCTCTCTCTGTCTCTCTCTCTCATTCATTGACACACCCTCTCACTCACTCACTCACACCAATGTAGCCTTGAAGGAGCCATCTTGCATTTGTCTTCAGGCTGATTCTGAGGCCAGCTGGCCAGCCTTGTCTTACCCTCATGCTGTGGCGCTTGAAGACATTGTGTCTGTTGAGTGGTGGGGTATGCAGAGAGTTGACAGGTGATGGGTACTCGATGGGGCTGGTGAGCGTTGGTGAGCTGGCACACAGACCCTCGGGCACCTGGGAAGGTGGAAGGAAAAGGCAGCGGGCACAAAACAATAGACACAGCATAAGCAGTAGGCACACAAACTGAGCAGAGAAAGCACTACAGAAAAATTTAGATAAGACATTGTTCCATATTTAAGTGAGTAATAGTAGATATTTTTTTTGCCAGAGAAGCTTTTTAAGTTTTTCAAAGCAGATTATAGAACCCATATTAAGAAGCACCAGAAATTATCCTGATCAGGTCTGGTGCCTTTATTTTACTTCAGAAAAGGAAAGTCACCTTAATTTTAATTTGCCATCAGTTCCTCTCAATTGTGAAAGTCTCTTTTAAAATTTCACATATATTGACATTTTAAATGTTTAAAACTGAGATTCCCAGGTACGGGGTAGTGCATTTTGTCAATTCCCTTGAAAAATATGTGTCATCCTTTTATAGGGAAATAAAACATCAAAAGATCAGCAAAGAATACCAGCAGGTTTAAGGATGTCCATGTTTGAAATCTCTTCACAAAAAAAGAAAAAAAATCCATGGGCAAAACTAATAGACCAAATTATATAAGGTAAAGGTAAAGTTTCCCCTGTCCAGTTGTGTCCGACTTTAGGGGGTGATGCTCATATCCGTTTCCTAGCCGAGAGAGTCAGTGTTGTCCAAAGACACTTCCACTGTTACCTTACCACAGAAGTGGTACCTATTTATCTACTTGCATTTGCATGCTTTCAAATAGAAACACACAGATAAATAAATGGCCGGGGCGGGGTGGGAAAGCTAATGAAGATCAAACATGCTCAGTCATTACGGAAACGGAAATGGGGATATGAATGCAATAAATTATCTTTAAAATTAGCATAACTAGCCCATAAGGCGCAATGCAGGACAAGAATAATACAATAATACAACATTTTGATTAGATTTTTACAAGTGCACCTTGAGCAAAGTGATATATTTGCAGAAATGGAAGCACTCCGTTCAAAAGTAAATGTCAGATATACAAGCCAAATGTAATACAATAAAGTGGTGAGATCAGTCAATGTGGTGAACTTTTAAATTAAACTAAAACTGAGATGTAATTGCAGGTGAAGATTTTGAAAGTTTATATGCAAATCCTGAAGGATCATATTGATTACTTGGTTTAGAAATGCAGAGAGTTACAAGACCATGCTTTTATTTTGAAATGATGCTCTCACGCTGGAAGGTCAAAAATGGTTAAGATGGTGGCTATGACCATGTGATTAAAGCCCTATCCCTTTTGATAAACATGCATCACACACATAAAAAGGGGCCTAACTCTAACCCTGGCCTGCCCCATTATCAGAGTTTTATTGAGGGTCTACAGATAATTATCTTTCTTATATGCTTTTCCTCCTCTACTTGCACTTCACCAAAACTTTTAAGCAAACAGGGCAGAATAAATGAATGGTGTTTCTCAATTGGAAGTTGTAGGGAATCCCATCCATCTGGAATCACCTCTAGAGGAAAGCATGAAGCAGCTGCTGCATGTCCAGCAGGGAATGGGATGGGGGAAGGAAAGTGGTGCTTATCAACAACTCAGAAGAAATGAATTAACATAAGCCAAGAAAAAGCCAACTGCAAAAGAGATACTTCAGTTCTGAAAGCGTGAATAGAAGAAAACTAGCATGTGGAAACCTCTCGGATCTTACCTGGAATTGCAGTTTGGGGGCCAGTAAATTGGTCTGAGGAGGTGGTTTGTACTTTGGTCTGCTGGGCTAAGAGGAATAAGAAAAACAACTACATAGCAAGGTTGGTAACAGTGGAGGATAGAGTCCCATATCTGGAAATAATTCCTATATTTACTTCTTTTAGTGTCTCACCTCAACTTTTTAAACAGCAAATCTATGGACACGAAATTAGTGTATATTTATAAATATGCACAAATATACGCTCCATGCACACTGCAGAAAAGTACGTGTAACATTTAATACAAACATTTCCATCAAATCCATGAACCAAAAATGACCACTCACAATACTAATATTAAGTATGTATTAATCTCTTAATGAAAACCAGCTTGTGCAGTGGTTAAGTTCCAGGCTAGAAACCAGGAGTTTATGAGTTCTAGTCCTGCCTTAGGCACAAAGCCATTTGGGTGACCTTAGCTGGTCACATTCTTCCTAACCCTAAGAAGAAGGAAAGGGCAAACCACTTCCAAAAATCTTGCCAAGAAAACTACAGGGACTTGTCCAGGCAGTTGCCAGGAGTAAGACTAAATCTGAAAGTTTTTGTAAAAAAAATATCCTTTTTAAAACAGGCGTGTTGAATTAGGAAATTAATGTGTTAGTTATGTCAATCACATAATTTCATTACAATGGCCACCCCAGACAGTCAAAGACAAAGGGAGAGGAAATAAAAGAAATGGAGTTAGGTTTTATTCCTGTAGAAATTTTAACTGTTTTCTATGGTCATTGAGAAATGTTTTTCATCATAGTGCAGCTCATATATATATTTCCGATCCCTCTGTTGCAGTAGACTGAAGCATTAACATTGAATATCGACTTTTTACTTTTTCATAATAGTATAAACTAGCCATTTCTATAACAACAAATCAATCTAATCAGTAAAGCCCCAAATCACTTTTTTTCCACCTCAAGCACAAAATTTAGAAGCGGTCTCCATGTAGAAATGAAAGTACGTATATTCTTTTCTTTAATCAAAAGAGTCAATTTAGCTATCTCTGCCAACTCCATCAGCTTCTGTAGTCATTTGTCCATAGTGGGAATCTCTCATAATTTCTCAAATATACTTTCTGATGAAATTTATGTTGTTTATAAAGTATTGAATCCAGAACTATTAGCTTTCATTCCTAAATATTTGTAATGTCCAAATGTTTCTTTCCTCTTGTTTTATTACCATCAAAATATTTGAGAGAATAATAACAAGTGGACAGTGACTTTTTGACTGTCAGAACCAGTGCTTTTTTTTTTTAAAAAAAAAGCAGCCTTCCATCCATCACACATATGTCTAAATTAGGGTCCTTTAATTGTCTTCTATCTTCCAACCAAATGTAGTCAGTAATTATGAATTTTTCACAATTTTTACTGGATGACACAGAAAAATGTACCTTGTACTCATGTGTTTCGTTTTGCCTTTCCAATTATTCTGCTTTATATAGCAACAGCGAAAACATTTTAAAAATATTGCCTGGCAGGACAGATCATGACGATCAGAAGCTAAAAATAAAATTATTCAGAACTCAAGAGTTGGTGGTGGAATAATAACTGATGTAATTGGAGGTTATATTCTCTGCAAATGTTAATATTGAATTGGGGGCATTTTAAGAACAATGGATTTTTATTCATTTTGTATTGAACTGATTGTGGCTGAGAATCAACAAAAAAGCCTGAAGATCAGCTGAGGAAAGGCCTGTTTTGATGGCAAACCAGCAAAATCTCCTCACCTTTGGAGGGGGCTCTTGGAAAGAGGTAGGCTCCATAATTTTTGGGGGGCGACGGCGATTATTCTTCTCTTGTTCCCGTGCAATCTCCTTCTCCATCTGGTAAATGTCACTGAAATTCAGAAGTGGAAGGGAAAGAGAAGAGCACTATTTAGCTTATCCATGAGCTCCATCTGCTGCCTATATAGCGCTCTGTAGGGATTTTCATTCTGCAGTTCGTAAATATTTTACAAGACTGTACCATCTAGCCATTTAGGCAAAGGGCATAGAGCACCTTTTTTTGTCTATCGACCATGTTAACTGGGACAGATGGGATACTGAATCCAATACAATTGTCCTCCTGCTCCATGTCGCTGCAGCATTTAAGGTTCAGTGAATTGAAATATCAGAAATGTTTGGAATACTGTCTGATTGGAGTTTTTGTTATTGTGTGAACGGCTTTGGATATGAAACTGATTGACAAATGAAACCAGAATAAATTTTGCACAATAAGAAAAATTCTGAAGATTTGTTTATGTAACCTATTCAGGTTGCAGAATATTATTTTTTCTCGTGCAATTTTTTTGGAAGACAAGGCTGGGAGTGACTTTCTATCACTTACCTTAAACTACAGACCAACTCTTTGAACTTGGGCCTGTCATTGGGGTCATAATCCCAACAGCGTGTCATCAGAGCATACAGGATTGGTGGACAGGCATCCGGCTTGGGGAGACGGTCTCCTTTCTCCAGCACTCCAATGACATCTTTGTTCTCCAACCAGAAGAAAGGCTGTTTGCCATAGCTAAGGATCTCCCACATGCAAACAGCTGTGGACAGAAGGAGAGGTCTCAGAAACTCCATTGTATACATTAATTGCTGCTTGGGATAGACTTGCAGTGTCTGCTGACAGAGCCCATCTTTCGACCACCCAAGTTACAGGGCGGACCTGGATGTTTAAACAGGGTCACTTATTTCTAAAGAACTTTGGGAAAAGTGACATAGCTTAGAGAAGTGGCATATTAAACAATTTCTTGTTGGCATACAGGTACAGATAAGTTCTTCATCTGAAGAATGTAGACGTGGCTGTTCCTATCCAAACTTCTACTCACCAAACATCCAAACGTCACTGGCAGAGGTGAAACGGCGAAAGTTGATTGACTCTGGAGCCATCCATTTGATGGGTAGGCGAGTCACTGATGCTGAGTTGTAGGAAGAAGAAATCAGAGTGAAACATATTAACTTTACAGCTTGGTATATTTTCTTCGTTTTGTGAACCATAAAGAATTTCCAGACAGGCAAAGCATTCTGTCTTATAGCACAAGTTTAAATGAAATTGGAATACATCCGAATTATCTTTGTGGAGTTTTTGGTGCTCTCTGAGCTTGATTGTTTTTTCACAGCAGTTTCCTTACCCAATCAGGTAACATCATCAGTGCCCTAAATTGTCTTTATCCCTTTCTGTTCATATTGAAGTTTACAGCATCCCAAGCATGGGCACATCTATATTTTTTAAATATAAAACTTACAGAAATTAGCCAGTGTTCACTGTTGCTGCCTTCAAGCTAGTTAATGGCTGAATGTCCTTTGTACCCAACCCGAAGTCCTGCCATTGTGCATATGATTTAATAGATGAAAAGATTTCTCTGAAACTACAAAACTCCCTGCATTTCCTAGAACTCCCCCATCTCAGTGGATCTACATAAGTCGTACTTCATACAGTAAAATCAAGAATTGGTCATTTAAACCACCAAGCACAACCCCCTATTTTCTGCAGGAAGCTGTATGAAATCCTTTCTGACAGATGGCTGTCAGATGGATCCTTTTCTTGAGAGGATTCATAGGAAGATCAGTTGCAGAATATTAATGAATATCCCAGGTTAACTAAGATAGCAGTAAACTGTTATACGGTAGCCCTCTTGAATGTCTGGCAACTCGCCACAGCAAACTCACTGCGACCAACTTGCCATGGGACATTTTGCCATGGCCAACTTGCCAGGGGCCAACTCGCGGTGAGACAAGAGTTACACTAATATCGAAGAAATGGTGGAACAGAATCATTAGAGAAAGGATGCCAAAAGAGGGACAAAATTAAATGTGGATGATAAAAATTAAAATAATTTTTTAACTATTTTAAATAATTAAATTGATTTGCTGAATTTCCTGTGGCAAGTTGTCCCATTTCAGCTGGGGCAAACAGCAAGCTATGATGTGTTGCACTATGCCTGCATTACAGAAATTACTCTGAGTTGTGGATAGGGGTCTACAACAACTGTTGCCACAGCCAACTCGACACGGCCAACTTGCCACAGCCAACTTGCTGTGGCCAACTCACCATGGGACATTTCACCACGGCCAACTCCTCATGGGACAACTTGCTGTGGGACAGGAGTTACACTAGTATCGAACAAATAATGCAATAGAATCATTAAAGAAAGGATGCCAAAGGAGGGACAAAATAAAATGTGAATGATGTGACTTCCACATCCAAATGTATAAATATATAAAACTTCCATCTTCCAATTCAGATGCTGTATTTTATCTTATCAACAGGCCATGGATGTGTGCCTTTGGGGATTATTTCCAACCCTGCTTTCTCCCATATCTGGAAATGCTGAGGACTGAACCTAAAACATACTTCATGAAAGTTATATTCCAATGCAAGAGCCATTACGCCCAAGCTTTTTACTGCTTCCCTTTATGTGTACTGCCAGTGAATTGTGAAGATGAGAAGATGCATTCACAGAAAAAGACCAGAAGCAGGAATTCTTCAGTTCCAAACATTTGTTATTCCCAGTTTCTGTGTCAGAGAGTGGGCTTTCAACTACTCAATAGTCATTGTTGGGCTATCCAGCTTCTCCCACTCGCATGCAAATTGGTTCAGATACATATAGATTTTTTTCTCTCTGAGTGGTATCTAAGAGTGAACAAGACTTTGACAGGGAAGTTTAACTGAGTAGAGAGAAGAAACAAAAGAGAGGAGGAGGAAGAAGAGGAAAGGTGGGAGGGAAACAGACTCTGCCTTATTCCCTTTTTCAAGATTGCTGTTGTTTCTTGAATAATGCTGCTGCCTGCACATTGTGTGTGAATGGCCCATTGCTTGCTGTTGATCTAGCTGAGGTAGCTTCTGGGAATATATAAAGAAGCTAGCTCCCAAGAGCTCAATGACTGAATGAATAGGGACAGGAACAAGAGTTTGACAGAGAAGGCCAAGTGGGAGACTCTTATTTTGTTTGACACTTTTGTCATCAGAGGAATATAGAAGTGGGGAAAAATTGCTCCCATGATTTAATAGGAATGTGCCAAATTTGTTTTTCACCTTGAGGACAACAGGAATTATATATACTATGAGCGCAAGCTCATTGCTCTTTTGGAAAAGGTGAAATGGGTAGAAGCAAAGAAATCTCCGCTTTCCAGCTTAATAAGAAGGATGGAGAATTTTTTTGTATTGGTTATAAGACCCACTTACAGAAGGACAACTTACTTGTCCTCTAAAGGGGGAAGCAATGGGCCATGGTGTTTGGAGACTCTTTTTTGAGAGGGTTAGGAAGATTTCAAAAATAAGTACTGAAAATATATGAGAAAAGAAATTGGAGAGGACAGCTTAAGAAACTTGTAGACACTTTCAATTGCGTAAGAATGAAAGGGATCCATATATGAAATGGAACATGGACATAATCACCAATAAGGTGTACTGCAGAAAGAAAGTTATAAAAAGTAAAATGCAAAAAGAACTTAGATTTTTCAAGGATACCTGAAACAACAAATCAGGCATTAATAAAAGGAAGAAAATTTAGCTGGCTCCTTTAAGTCAGGATTCAGACTGTGCCATATTATTGAGACAGCATTGGTGAATGACCTTTGGAGAGCTCAAGATGGGGATAGGGTATCCATTCAGCCCTTTCTGTGGCTTTTGATACCATAAACCATGGTATCTTGCTGGACTGGTTCAGGGAATTGGGTGATACTGTTTTGTATACTCTCCTCTTTTCTCCATGATTGCTCCAGTTAATGATGTTGGGCAAGGAGATGCCCATCCCTAGGTCCCTGTTGTGTGGGGTGCCTCAGGTCTTAGGTCTCTCCCCCCTTCTATTTAACATATATATGAAGCTGTTGAGAGACATCATCCAGCAGCAGGGGGTTTGGTGTCATCAATATGGAATAGCTTTCCAATTAGGATGTGAGGGACCCTTTAAATTTAACTTTCTAGAGGACCAGGAAGACCTGGCTTTTCTCCCATGGACTGGGCTAGAATGAGAGGTTGTTTGGTTTGGTGCCTTGGGGAAAGGCTATTTCTGTTTTTATCTATGGTTTTCTGAATTTTTATGAGCCACTTAGAATCATTAAATGAGATGTAAATAAACACAATTATTTATTTGTAAATAAATACAGAAGTAAATCCTGTAAATAAATACATAAATAAAAGGATAATAAAAGAAAGAGGTATAGATTGCATTACGAGAAGTGTCGTGATTAAAAGAAATCACTGCCCTTCTCTATTTTTGCATTGGTCTGATTGCACCCAATACAATTCTGGGCACCACATTTTAGGAAGGACTGGACAAATTGGAGCATGTCCAGAGGAGAGCAACCTGATTGATAAAAGATCAGGAAGCAAAAGCTTATGAGAAATGTTTGAATGGATGAATTTCCTAACTATAACAATGGAACAGACAGATTTAGATGAAGAACTTTCCTTCAATGGAGATGTATAAACCTCTGCTGAGGATACTATAGTAGCACTTTCCAATCTGAACAGACACTGTACTAGATCATTTCCAAGATTCCTTCCAATCCTTACATGGTTTGATTCTCTGATTTTCCATTTGTGTGAAAACACTCATGATGGCAAAAGCAAGGAATGCTGCGTACTTGTGACTGACATGCTCCACGGCACTCACTTGCTGGTCATGAAAATAATCCTTCATTAGTCCCAAAGTGCTTTTATTTAAAGGCAATGGACTTTCTGATTTTTTAAAAAAGACATATCACTTCTCATCCAAGAAGTTTCATTCCTTTAGAGGGGCCCTTTTCTTTCAGATGCAGATAGATAGCTGATTCTTCCTGATGTGTTGGTTCAGAACAGAATAACAGAGTTGGAAGGGACCTTGGAGGTCTTCTAGTCCAACCCCCTGCTCAAGCAGGAGACCCTATACCATTCCAGACAAATGGCTGTCCAGTCTCTTCTTGAAAACCTCCAGTGATGGAGTACCCACAACTTATGAAGGCAAGCCTTTCCACTGGTTGATTGTTCTCACTATTTCTCACAGGTTCTCCTGTGGACATTCTGGACACAGGATTGAAAGAGGAATTAAAGAGGCCATCTATGCTAAAATTGAACAGAGGAGGAGGGGTACAACACCACTTATCTCCTGTATACAATACAGCCCTTTCAGCAGTCCCAAGACAGTTCCACATTCATTTCTATTCTGATTCAGGTGACTCTGAGAACACAAATTAGCCCCTAGGTAGCTTCAACAACCCTTAGAATATTAATGACTAGCTAATTGCAGAGAGTATAAATTTCTTCCAATCTCCACCAATTACTTAAAACTGAAGAAGCTTCTTGGATGAAAAGCAAACTGTCTTAAAGAAAAATCAGAGAGTCCAGTTGCTTTTAAAATAAAAGCACCTTTGGGACAACAATGACCTGGATGAATGAGAGCCTCCATAGACAACCCTTCGTTAGTATTCCAAATATTCCCAAAAGATTGGAACTTCCTAGATGTAGGTAGAGGTGTAATTGCCTTACAGGATCAAAGCAATGGCCTATTTATAGATAACTGCACAATATTTGTGGAGACAAGGGTTATGTTTAGCCTTTCAATGGCAGGCCAGTAGCAATAAAGATATAAGGCTGGCATAGAAGAATCATTTATTTTAAATTTGGTATATTAATATAATTACCTTATCCATTTAACAATTTTCTACTTCATCTCATAAAAAATTAAATTTGCAGTAAATCTGGAGGGCCTCCAAAGACTTTTAAGATTGCCTGTTGTCCTGGACAACATTGTCTCTTCTGGCAGACAATAACACCTCAATATCCTAATCAAATGTTTATGATGGTCATAGACCAGCAGAAGAGATACTTCTATACATTTTTTCAGCTTAGCTACCTAAGATCTTGGCCAATGGAGATGTAGAGAAGAGACATTGAATTCTTCTATGTATTCTGCTGGGAGGCTAATGGTGCATGTACAATAAAAGCCAAATAAAAATATTTTTCTTAATGCATATAACATGACGTTTACCCTCAACATTTGGGTTTTTCCCAGCTCCTTTCCATACCTTTATAATACTCATCATCCTCAATGTATCTGGAAAGGCCAAAATCTCCTAGTTTGACACATTCAGGCGAAGCCACCAGCACATTACGGACTGCAATGTCCCTGCAGATAATAAAGTGAGCTAGTTATTCTCTTCTGGGAAGATTTGAATAGCTGCAGAGCAAAATATATGTGTTGCAGGAAATATGAACAAAAACGCAAGTGTCTGAACTTCTAAGTCAATGATTGATCTGGCCATATTTTCATTTTTTGCACCACGGTGTAACGTAGATCAATAAAAGTGGATAAGCTCTTAGTATTTCAGTATGTGGGCGCTCAATGATTATCTCATAACCAGGAGAACAGTGAAAAAACAGAAGGAATTAACAGCAAATGAACCTTCACTTGTCTCACCTGACTGCCATCACAGCTGCTGAAAATGGAGTGGGTTTATGTGTGTGAAGAATGATGCTTGGAGGTAACTACTATAGGGATCATAGTCCAACACTGGGCTAAAAACATGCCCCAAAATTATCACATTACAGTTTTACATCTATGAGAACTGGAACTCTTCCCTCCTCAAGCTCTTACAATGGTACCATGCTGTATATAGAGATACAGCAGTTAGGCCACTGGATATGAAGCAATGGGAAGTTGGCCTTTTCTTTCCAAGTAGCCACTGCATAACAGTATTGGTATGACTGGTATCCACGGCACAGCAATTTATATTCTACCAACTATTGAACATGATCCTATTGCTTCCCTCAATGGAGAAGATGAAGTCTCCTACCAATCGACTGCTCCTTGACGAATTTTGAAATTCACTTTTTGCATTTGCATTCTTCAATTATTATCTCCAATTGTTACAAAACAAACATTGTGAAAAGGTTGGATTGGGTGTCTTTCAGCACTGATTTGGCTATAATGTTACTTTATTAGGCTTCATAAAATGACTTTGAGCTGCCCGAGAACCTCAATTTTCAGCACTCTCTGGTGATGCCACATGAGGTTAACTTGAAGCTCTTTTGTAAAAGGTCAGAATATACTGCAATGTGTTATATTTTTCCTCCATTTGAAATATGCTTCTGCTCCATCTGGTACGTAGCATTCCATTCCAATTCCAATGGAGAACAATTAAGGAGCATCCCTTCCTCCAAAGACCAATTCTCAGGCATTCCATATGTTCCTTAAACATTTTCAACGCCAAAAGCCAACTTCCATGTCCTTGCACATTTTCAAGGGCTGAGAATCTCTTCTTGGTGATTGCAAAGAGTAATGATGGGCAACCTATGGCTTGTGAGCCACATGAGACTCCTGCACCTTATTTGCAGTGCTCAGAGTCCTCACAGAATGGATAAGAGTTTTTGAGACCTTTTTATGTTTTAAGAGTCTGGAATAAGACAAAGATGGCAAACCAGGTTTCTTAAACCTTCTAGGAACCTAAATTATTCATTGAATCCTTTGGCACACCTGATGAAACCAAGTAACTATACTATTTTTCTCAGTGTTTTTTTTTGGGGGGGGGGAGAGACTTGAAATGTGAAATGGGTACCTTAGGACTGCATTGTTTATACCGCCACTTCTGCTACTGAATTTCCCCCTCCAGAAAAAATTCCAGAATTACAGTGCCTACCGTCACCAATCCTTAGACACCACAGAAAAATAGTGGCCAAAGGTTGCCCAACCTGGACTAGAAGCTATCCATTTAGCCTTGGATGTAGCAAGTTGGTGCAAGAATAAATGCAGAGAAAATTCTTGGCTGAGTATGTATATATCTTTACATGCCACCTCTTATTTTACTTTAAAATAAAAAGCCCTTGTACCTGTGCACACAGTTGATAGCCTCCAGGTAAGCCATGGCTTTGCAAATTTGCAAGGTATAGAGGATAAGGGTCTGCACCTTCAGGCTGGCCTTGTTCTGCTCGAGATAGTGTCCCAGCTGCAGAGAGAAGATGAAAAAAACGGAATCTATTTCTAAAACTTTCTTTCCAAGGAAGCTCAGACTCAAGAGGTTCCTTCCATTTCCTTGCTTCTTTGCTTCCTTATCTTTTTTAGATTCAACTTCCTAACTCCCATTGCTTTGGGTACCATCAGCTCACCTCCCCATAAGGATAGAGTTCCATAACAATCCATGTTGGCTCCTCCTCTGTGATGCCAATCAGTTTCACAATGTGGGGGTGGTCCATCTTTTTCATGAGCACTGTAGGTACATTGGGGAGAAACTTAGTTAATCTTGACACATGGCCCATTTTTATTTTCAACCTTAATTTCAGAGATCCTCAGAGATCATACCTTATTCTTACAGATGTGCTAGCATCAGTTTTTCTCCACAGCATGACTAATGCTCTCCTCCCTTCTATCCAATTAAAAAATATTTTAAAATCCTTTGTTTCACATTAACAATCATTGCCAAGCTTCTACCCTTTCTTACTATTTGTTGAAGTTGAAGTAATCAATCAATTTAATTAATAGCATTTTTATGATGCCTGGCAATAGTATTATCTTATTTAGTTTGAAAAGCCTATTTTCACTGATTTAAAAGTCAAGAGTACTTGTCAGTTAAACATTTACTTGAAAATACAACTGTTCTACAGTGCTTCATTGATGTGATGGAATGTATAATGGACCCTAGGAAAGCAGAAGATGAAACATGACAATTACAAAAGGAAGCAAGCCCAGCAAAGCTTGGCAAGTTCAGGAAACAAGAACCACTAGATTTCTGGTAAGATCCTTATTACCATTGGGTGTTGTAACAGAATCTTGAAAGCCTGTCAAAGCAGTTGTCCAGCTCAACGTATACCTTGCATAATTAAGGAGTAACTCTGAGTCTCTTTCTCATGTCTTCCCCCTCCCCTGGACTCAGGAATCTTTTATATAACTGCTTTGTTTCTCTTGTAACTGTTGTGCTGCCTCCTCTCCTTTTTTTTTAACAAGCTGTAGAATTACAGGTTTGGTGCATACTGCTTGTTGCCTTGACAGGCAAGTGCATTAAAGATAAGATAAATCCATTCCTCACTCAAGACAGCATGGGGAAGAGAGCAAAATTTTTAAATATGGCAACTCTAAAAGCTCACACTGAGAAAAATTGAAGAAATTTCGAAGAGCTGCCTGTTCCCACAACTACTGCAACAGCACCATTCAGTCACTGCTGTTGTGGCACTGCACCAGATGTGGGAGGAAATGGCATTTTATTTCACATGTTCACAGAAAGAGAGAGTCTACCTACTTGCTTCACTCATGAACTTCTCCTTGTTCTCAGCAGTGCAATCTTTCTTGCATGTTTTCACAGCAACGCTAACCCGCTCCCCACTCTGAAAGAAGAGGGAGATCCCAATATTAAAAAGAGGAGGAAGGAGGAAGAGGAAGAGGAGGAGGAGGAGCTAGTCTGCATCTTTTGGGCAAAACACAAATTGCTGGAGTTCATGTATGTCAATCTTCCATAGAAACAAGTGACACTTTTGGCTTTTCAAAACTGTAGCAATAGCACTGAGGCCAGGCCAAAGATCCAGAAACCAATGTCCAAAGGAAACCAACAGGCAGAATATCCCCATCCACCTTCAATTTTGTAATAATTTTAATGGTCCCACGTCACAACTAAATCATGTGCATGATATCACATGTAGTTTGGCACCATGGATAGGTTTCTCTCAGTCTTAAGGTTTTTCTAATGTGCAAATAACAAAACGGGCATATAAGATGTCTGTCTGTCTGTCTGTCTGTCTGTCTGTCTGTCTGTCTGTCTGTCTGTCTGTCTGTCTGTCTGTCTGTCTGTCTGTCTATATATCAACAAACACTGATCACACATTTTCCCTTGATTTCCTTATGCCACTTATGATACATGCTACACCTTACCATTCTAGTCTACAGACCAAAGGCAGTCTAGTAAACTGCTCTTTATACAAGCTGAACTAGAATTGTTGTGAAGCCAGCTGGACTTTGGCACATAAATGAAGTTTCAACCCAGCACATTTGATGCTTATCTGGCTAGGAAAGGCTAGGACAGAGTCTTATGTTCCAGACTCACCTCATTGGTGAAGACACCTTCATAGACTTCTCCGAAGAAACCTTCTCCCAGGATCCTGCCCAGAGAAACATCTTCTCGAGAAATCACGAACTGTTGGGCTGTGCAAGGAATAGAATGGTAAGGGATATCAACTTGTCAGTTGTGAACAACAACAACAACAACATCTAACTCCTCAATACCACACCATAATCTAGAAAGGAAGAAAGACTGCCATTTTGCAGGCTGGCCATGTTTTGATTCAACTATAATTACAGGCAGGAGAGTGACATTTTGCAGGGATTGTAACACATTCAGGTCTCACCTGTCCATAAAGGGCGGCGGTCTTCAACAAGTTCAGGACCTCAGCAGCAATTTGGGAATGGTAATACTGGCTACAATTTTTCATGATTGTTTTTAATAGTGTATAAGATACTAGCAGTGGCTCCCCCCCAATCATATTCAGATACAATATTCATCACAATGATATAGAATTCATCACCACTTGAAAAGACTTCCATCTCCCCTCCACCCAGGATTGGACTCAAATTTACCACTATGAATCTTTTGCCAATTTTCTAACCCTTTTGCCAACTTTCTAACCACACCATGCATAATTTCATAGACTTCAAATAAGCCCATCTCATTTGCCTACTTTCTAGACTAAAAACCTCCAAATGTCTCAACCATTCCTTACAGGGAAGCTGCTCCAGCCCCTTGATCATCTCGGCTGTCCATTTATGAACCTTCTGTAGCTCCACTGTATCCTTTTTGAGGTATGGCAGTCAGAAATGGACATAACATATCAGATGCATTCACACCAATGATTTACATAAGAGCATTACATTATTGGCATCTCTGTTTTCAGCAAAAATTTCCTTTTATCTCTCACATTCTGATGGTCTTTTTTTTTTTTACAGCAGATGTACAGTGTTCACACATTCATTACTCCAAGATTTCTCTCCTCACCAATCACTGCTATTCTGATGCAATTAGTCTATATAAGTAATTAGGATTTTGACATTAATGTGTGTTGGTTATACTTTATTTTTGTTTCCATTAATGGTAGCCAGAGGCAAAGTGTGATTCTCTTCTGGAATTACACAATATGGCTGACTTAGGGAGGGTAATTTCTGAAATGTTTAATTTAATTTAATTAAAATGGCCCTCGGCAGTCTTACTGGTGTTTGGTTTTTGTTCACATAACATGATAGCCCTAACCTTGACTCCATTAAGTATACTTTAGAAACCAGTTATTGGATAATGAGGTTAGTGTAAAGGGTCCTTTTCAACTCTGTTTCAATGCTCACATAACTATTCTAAAACATGTAACAATGTTATTTCTTTGAAGCGCCTATTTTGTTCAAGAAAATCTTTTCTTTTACATTGGTACATCACATTACCGTTCCTGCATAATAATTCAGGTACCATTTCTGCATAATAATTCAACCACCTAATCCCTTCTATATATTAATCCACTTCAAAAGTACAGTTGAAGCCCTAACCCTATATGGTTTTAGAAAATGGGACCAAGGTCTGAACAAACCTCCAGATTTGGGTCTGGATGCTTCATCTGGAATCTCAGCATAAATGTCAGAATCTGGAACAATACATTATCTGTTACTTCAGTATAAATATCCTTTCCCATCAAGATATCCTATCACAGTGTTTCTCAACCTTGACAATTTTAAGGCATGTGGACTTCAACTCCAGCTTTGCTGGCTGTGGAATTCTGGGAGTTGAAGTCCACATGCCTTAAAATTGTCAAGGTTGAGAAACACTGTATCATCTTGTTCATAAAGACATAACATGGGATGCTTTCAGAAGATTTTACTGTGTTCTCTAACCTAGCTTTTCTTTCACAGAAAAAACAACAACACTAGGAAGGGAAAGAACGAATTTCTAAATTATCTTTTATGACCAGCATTAAAAGCTGGTGACTTGGAAGGACTAATTCTGGCTGGAGAAAGAAAATGGTATTTCCCAAATTTTCACCATCCTTTCAGGACAGTTGAGTAATTACTTTAGACATTACTTATGGATAGAATATTCAATTTTCTATTTCATTTTTGACTTTTATTGTAGAAGCATGGCATGATTTTGTATATTTCAGAAATGTGTGCAATCTATTTGATTAGAAATGATAGAACAACAAAAATAAATATACCTCAGCCTACTCTCAGTGTAAACTCCATCATTCCATGACTTCTGCCAAAAATGGCAAGGCCAGAGGTTAAAAGAGATCAAAGCTCCCAAGTACACAGTTTATATATCTGATGTCATCAATCCTCATTGATCTGATAGTGGCGAGGTAAAATTCAACTTACCTCCACTGAAGCTCTCTGTCAGTGTGGGTCTCTTTTCTTCTATATGCCTGTGGCAGAAAGATATTTAGGAACAGAACTGGCTTTGCTAATTTCCTTTTACTGAGATTTGATTTGCACACAAAAAAATGTGAGCATTAAGGATTCTATAAATATAATCAATCAACACGAAGGCAATTCTTCCAGTAATGATGAAGGGCTTCACTTGTTTACGGTCTCTTCATTTAGAATAATGTTTGAGCACCTAAGAGAAGGCTGGAGAGCCAGTTTAATATAATAGTTATATTAAAGATTAAGACCATGAATTCTAGTCCTGTCTTAGGCATGAGGCCAGCTGGGTGACCTTGGGGCAGTCACTCTTTCTTAGCCATAAAAGAAGGCTAGGACAATCCACTTCTGAACACCTGGCTGAGAAAATTTGGGGACTAGTCCAGGCAGTTGCCAAGAGTCAAGAAGGAGAAGGAGGAGAAGAAGAAGGAGCAGGGAAAATAAAAATGCATGAAAAATTCTGACAGATCAAATCTTTGACAATCTATAATAATTTAGCACCTCTCCCCTATAACAGCTGTCAAATCCCAATAGAAAGCTTATGAGTAGAATAGTGAACCTACTGTTGATATCCCAGCAATAGGAGCCCTGTTTTGTTATTAGCATTCATAATTATTGATAGGTGTTGTCTCCGTCAACCCGGTCAACATTTTTCTCTGTATATGGAACACATGCTAGTCTATTTCCTATAATATTTCCAGGTAGCAAGAGTGCTGTTTCTTCTCTGAGTAAATTAGAGCTTAGGGAGCATTGAGGTAATTTCATCACTAGTGCAAAACTAGTTTGTTCTCTTACTGTCCTCTGGTGCTCAGTATTACACACAAGCCCAACATCCTAGGGAAGGTCCATCATCTTACTTACTGTATTGGGACCTGAGGCAGACTGATCCTCTTCTCATTCTCTGCAAGGGAAAAGGAGATAAAGCATGTCAGGAAACTCATAATTCAATTCTAACTGGCCAATTTGCTGTGAATGAGAGCTGTTCCCTCTTTTCTGTTTGTTTTTTTCTCCCTGTCTCCAAATAACTAGGCATGGGTGAACTGTCCTTGTTCTGTTCTATTATTGTCTTAAGCTTTGCTTACTCCATTTCACCGAATGAACATGGAGAAATTCTAAAATGAATTTTGGAACTGGAATGCAAAGTTTTCTGTAGCATCCATAAGCACTAATGAATTACAAACATGGGTCAGAACATTATTACACAAGTGGATGATTGCTTATCCACATCAATAAAGTGCAGATGACAGTGTGTTGGTGGTATTGATGTTGCTCTGCACATAGGACAGGGAAATTTGAAAAAAATCTTTCCTTAACTGGAAACTTTGATAATGGTGGTTTTAGAACTGAATCAATCAGGCAATTGTCCAAGCCCTGCACTTGAGGGGGCCTTCAATTCTGATATAATTTCAATAAATAAAATATATGAAATCTATAGAAACACAGGGTGAAGAATTCACCATGAAGACGTCTCCATGTTGCAGGAAGGTTTTAACTTGGTATTGTGTGCTTTCATTTATGAATTATGATAACTGTACTTTTACAGCTGCATGATGGGTTAAGAAATCATACAATAAAAACATATATAGCAATGTAATAATTTTAAAGTATTCTTTCTCTCTATGTGTGTGTGGGGTTTCCAGTTAACACTTGTGTCCAGAGCCACAAACAATCTAAGGCTAAGAAAGCAAATAATTTATCTATAAACAACACGGTGTTGTGCATCAACATGAATTATAGATATTAATATGATTTTCAGAATCCTCTTCTCAAACCAAGATTTTACTATCCAAAATGGTTTAATGTGTTGCCTTGATTTCTAATCTGTTGCCTCTGATTTTAAGATTTAAGATTTAACGGGAAAATACCATTAAATACCATGAGATGAACATATTTTGTAATTCTTGGTTATATATGGTTAATTAAAGCTATAATCAATGCTATAAGGCTATAAGGCAATGTTGGATCTAACATTACCTTACTTTGTAGTCAACACAGCCAATATTATGTTGGCTATTGTCTGCCTGCCTGCCTGCCTGCCTGCCTGCCTGCCTGCCTGCCTGCCTGCCTGCCTGCCTGCCTGCCTNCCAATATATGAATGATATGATCCTGTGATCAGAGTTAACATATAGATCTTTCCCAGCCAATCAGAATTTCACTAGAAAAGAACTGGATAAGTTCAAATAATAGGTAAGAACCTCTCACAAATAGCTTAATATTGTTTTAAGAAACAAACTACAGCATCCACATTCTCCTCTATAAGAAAGTATGTGATTATTATTCAGTCTGCACTATTACATACCTACCATGCTTCTGCAAATCATATAGGATCCACCCTTACCATATGCAAAGGATCACTTCATTGCGTTCTCACCTCTGTTGGGTAGGATGATGAGGGAGGTATCCAAGCATCCCTGCAGCCTGCAGTAGCCATCTATTAAGTCAGCCATGTTCTCTGCCTCAGCCAGGGAGGATGTCTTAATAGTCAAGGACTGCCAAGTAAAAAGCCATATAAGGTCCCTATGCCAATCATATAGAGATTTCATTGTCAATGCTCACATGTTTGCCCATCAAGATGGTAACTACATTGGTTTAAACCCCTTGGTTGGTTCCCATGCTGGCTCAGGAATTCTGGGAGTTGAAGTCCACGAGTCATAAAAGAGCCAAGGTTGCCTACCCCTGGTGTAGTGAATAAAGTCATTGGCTAGAAACCATGAGAATGTGAGTTATAATCTCATTTTAAGGCAAGAAGTCGGCTGGATGACCTTGGGCTAATCACTTTCTCTCAATTTCAGGAAGCAGACAACAGCAAACCACTTCCAAAAGAAACCTCCCAAGAAAATTGCATGGATTTATCTATGTAGCTGCAATGATGATGATGATGATGATGATGATAATAATAATAATAGTAATAATAATAATAATAGTAATAATAATAATAATAATAATAATAATAATAATGATGATGATGATGATGTTGGAAGGGACCTTGGAGGTCATCTAGTCCAACCCCCTGCTCAGGCAGGAAACCCTATACCATTTGAGACAAATGGCTGTCCAGTCTCTTCTTAAAGACTTCCAGTGTGGGAGCATTCACAGCTTCTGGAGGCAGGTTGTTCCACTGATTAATTGTTCTAACTGTCAGGAAATTTCTCCTTAGTTCTAGGTTGCTTCTCTCCTTGATTAGTTTCCACCCGTTGCTTCTTGTCCTGCCTCCAGGCGCTTTGGAGAATAGCTTGACTCCCTCTTCTTTATGGCAACCCCTGAGATATTGGAACACTGCTATCATGTCCCCCCTCGTCCTTCTCTTCATTAAACTAGACATACCCAATTCCAGCAACCGTTCCTTATATGTTTTAGCCTCCAGTCCCCTAATCCTCTCACAAATGTTAGCATGTAGACATCACTCAGTCGAAATAAATACAGAGAGATTTGAGACTGATGAAAGGAAGAAGAACTCATTTATGTAGTGCAAAGTTATATACGGAATTTGCTGCCATCAAATGTGTGGATGGCCATCAATCCAGACAGGGTTAAAATAGCCATTAGTCAAGTATTAGTGAATGATAAACTCAGACAACATGTTTGTTGAACAAGTACTTTTGAACTGTATGAAAAAATCAATAAAACATTTTTTAAAAATAAAATAAAATAGCCATTAGTCCTGATGAAGGTTTGCTGTCTCTGAAAACAAACCTGGCATGCTTTGATTCCTAACCGCTAAGGAGCAAAAGTGGAGGAGGGATACTGAATTCTAGTCCATACTTGTGTGCTTTCTGATTGCATTTGACTGCCTAGTACAGAAGGCTGGACTGCACCAGCTCGAATGTAACAGCTCTGATACTGTTCTTATTTTTTCTCTCTCAAGAAGAGTGTTGGAAGACTGGAACAGGGAGACAACTGAGATATAATCAAAGCCACCTTGCACTTCCTTCTTACCTGGGGGTTCCCAGTCAGACCAAGCTGCAGCAATGCTCTGCCTTCCTCCACTGTAGTACATTTTATGGATTTGATTTGCTTGAATTCAGCCAAGCAAGTGGGCTGCAAAGGAGCAACATTAATGTTTTATGAAAGGTTCACTTGCATTACAATCAAGAAATCTTTTTGCTTTCCACACTCTGTAATGTGGGGTGGGATGCTATGCTGGACCCATACATGCAGAGAAGCAGCATTCTGATTCATGTCTCTTTATTTTTTAAATTTCACAAAAAAAGTTTTATAGTGGCACGAATCCCATTATATTTTCAGGTTAGCATGAATATTATTGTAATGTATGCTCCAGGGCAAAACTGATTTGGCCAACCTGTAGTTTGTATTTCACTAAGGGATGTGTTTCAGTCTAGGAAGCTCATCAGTTCTAACTGGTGAGACTTCAGCTCTCTTGTAAAGAAAATCAGCTCTGCCATCTTGGAGCTAATAACACACATAAAACTTTAGTATAATCTCTACTTAGGTGATGTTGAAAGCAAAGCACAATGGGATTATCTACAAGCTTGGTAAATGCTGAATCAGGGGTCTCATAAAATACTCTTGTTTAAAATGGACTGGATATTCTTTGACAGCAGCATCAGTGGCCATAGTGCTTCTAGGTTTGCTTGCCTTTTATTTAGTTATCCATACATCCATACAAAGAATTATAAAGTTGGAAAGATTTTTGGAGGTCCAACATTCTACCCAGTGCACGAATTTTTATACCATCCTGAATGCATGCATATGTATATTTATATAATATATGGGGCTGCCCAATTGGCAATTTTAAATTCTGGATGGTTTATATTGGGGAACACAAAAACAAGGAAAACCCCCATAATCAAAATAGAAACAACTATGAGTACAATACAACCAAGACCAAAAACCACCCTCATAATCACAACACAAACCATTACAAGATAAGCTCATCCAGTGCTTTGGCCCGATGACTCAAGGAAGAGTCAGGTTTTCAAGACCTCACAGAAGGTCAAGACAATCAGGGCTATCTGTATCTTAACATGCCTTTTAGAAGAGACAGAGAAGGCATACTCCACTAGATAGCAGAAGCGACTCAGAGTATGCCAATTCTGTCAGCATTTGTGGAAAAAGCAGAAACAACTGGACATAGCTATACCACAAATAACCTGGCTCGGCACCAAGAAGGACATTATAGTGATAACCAGAAGCTTGATTGTATTAGGAAGCCTACTGAGAACCAGTGTAGTTCACATAATACATTCATTATGTGAGTATTCCCTGGTACCCCTATGACTGCCCACACTGCTGCATTCTGGATCATTCTTAGTTTCTGGATGTTCAAGTACAGCCCCATATAGAATGTGTTGCAATAGTCTAGGTGTGAGGATACCAAGGCATGAGTGACTATATTTGGAGGAACTAAGCTGGAGAATTCATTCCATCTCCAGGCACATAAACTTGAATTATCTAGTAGAGAGATAATATCCTGCGTTTCATGATCATGCTCTTTACAAGACCTTTGCCTTAATCTTACCTCTTGATTTTACTGCTTGAAAAGACATAATCCAACTAGTCTTACAACTATTAGATTTCTATTCATCGAAAGGTACAGGAATCCTGCATTAAAAATTGTGTTATTCAATTGTACCAGTGGCCTTCAGAGAAGATGATTGTATGGTACAAAAACAACCCTGAAGTTACCATGGAAACACTCCTGTTCTCTCGCTATCTGCAAAATAGCTTAATTTGTATTCAGGCAACAAAAAAAGGGAACAATAGATTGCAATGAAAATCCGTATTTGATAGATTATGAAAGCCCTTCCTTACAAGATGTCTGAGGAACTCACCTTTGCTTCTTTACTTGTCATCTGCCGAATGCCTTTTGGGCCAATCACCAGGTCCACAGTGATATTCCATCCTTGCTGAAAAGGGAAGAGAGAAAAGAAATCTGTGTTCCAGATGAAACAAGACTCTCCTAATTTTTGCAGCCTCTGACATTCTGAATATGCTGAGCAGCTGAAGAATTCTAGAGCAGGAGTGATAGAAGATTGTGGAAGAATTCTAGAGCAGGAGGTGATGCAAATGGCAATTAATACTACATCAGCCTGGAGGTGGAAAGTTAGAGATGCCACAGAGTTTGAAGCAAAATGATAAGCCCCACATAAGCTGAAACTACTATGAATATGATGCATGACCTAAGTAAGCTCTTAAGTGTGAAAACCTTTCGGAATGAAATCCAATTAGCATCCATAGGCCCAGTGACATCAGGTAAGCAGGGAGGAGCCAAAAATAAGACATGTGTAGATTTGGATAGAAGCCTCAATTAACAGTGGAGAATGGCTATCATATAACATGTATTTTTAAATATTTGCTTATCTTTGTTAGTTAGAAAGTCTGAGGTTTGGGGATTTGGCCTCTTCTAAATGTGAGAATGTCAGGCTAATGAACTGTATATATACAAAAATTCTCTTGGATCACACACCTTGACCTTGACCTATTTGATCCCCATATGCAAACACTATCCTTTATCTTACAAGTCCCAATCCACTGAATTTCAGCTTCAGAAGTTCTAAAATTCCAAATGTTGGTCCCTATTCATCTTGTCAGAACATCTCTCTGTACAGTACTGATAGAGAAGACACCAATCACATCATCTATTATGATAGCATCCTGAAGAGATTATGTTTACAAGGTAAGCCTTGCTTAATACGTCTATATCTAAACTGTAATTGGAACCACAATCAGACCACCCAGACTCTGGGAAGTATTTCCTTGCCCGCCCAATACTTACAATCAACTCACAGCGATAGTTTTCTTGATCAATGTTGGCAAAGGTGGAGAGTGTGCCAAGGAACTTCATGATGCATTCTTCCTCTCTCAGGAGCGCATACTGCTGGAAAGTCTGCTGGATCATCTTGCGGAACTGCTTTGGCTATGAATGGGAAGCAGGGAGGAATTAAAAAGAAAAAGAAAAAAAACTCTTAACACTTCATAATAAATGCAGACAGAAACCTAAGATGGAATGAAATGTTTTTTTTCTGAAACTTTCACATTACTACCGCTGGAAACCTAAGATGTTTTGTTCAGACAAGCAGAATACTTTAGGCAGTAGATGGTATTAGATGATTGCAATTTTCAAATGGTCGTTTATGTTGTTTAATCCTGTTGTAATTAAAAGAAAAATACCCCAGTACTTTGCTGAATTACTTTTCGATATGGAGAGCAATTTTTGGAGTAGTAACAAATATTTTGACCCAATCTTTCAGTATGAAAGTGATGGCATAATTCATTCAGCCATTTCAAATTCTGAAGCTTTTTTTTCTGCTATTGATACAGATCAGATTTTCACCCAGCAGCATCTATAGAAAACCAGGATGATGTCAACATGGTAGAGCATGCAGTATTGTCATCACGCAAATGCTACTATTACACACTTACGTTCCAAGATCTAACACAGATATTTGGGTTGCATCGTTTGAGTGATGATATTGTCATGCGTATTTTGTCACTTCCCTACTCTCATGGATATTCAAGCTTTAAACCTTAACTTGTGGATTTTGGTTTATCTAACTTATGGGTCCTTGTTTGGTGGGATAGCAGATAGTTACTTTTCCCCTCTGTACTGTTTTACTACAATAATTCCTAAGATAGATAAGAGTGAGAAAGAAAAAAAGGGGGAAAGGAGAAAAATCCATTCAGAATAATTCTAGGAAAGCTAGAAGCTCTGCTAGACTTTCTCAGACATACTACAACTCCCAACTCCAGAGAGACTGGCTAATGGCTAGTTCCCCCCCCCCCCCTTGGTTGAACATGTGTATATGGGGCTAAAACATTTCTCACCTTCAAGTTCTCTTGCATCTGTTTAGGAAAGAACAAGTCCAGTCCCACTTCCTTCCTTAAAGAGAAAGAAAATGCTGCTTTACGCATCTGTAGGTATCCAGTCTCTGGACATTTTAATTTATGGTGTTTCTATTTAGATTTTAGAGGTTTTTTTAGAGCCAGTTTGGTCTAGTGGTTAAAGCACCAGGCTAGAAAGCAGGAGAGTGTGAGTTCTAGTCCCATCTTAGCCCTGAAAGCCAGCTGGATGACCTTGGGCTAGTCATTCTTTCTCAACCCAACTCACCTCACAGCGTTCTTGTTGTAGAGAAAATAGGAAGAGAATGGTGAGTTATTTGAAAAAAGAATAAAGCCGGGATACAAACAAACAAACAAAAAGATTTGGAAGCAAACCAGCTCTCTTAAAATGGGCCATTCCATCTTATCTTTTGCACTGCTGCCTATCCTGGCTGCCAGAGGCACACCACCTTGCTCTCAAGAAAGCATCCTTTTCCAATCATCTGTGACCATAAACAATGCCCTCTGGCCAAGGAGAGCAGGGATGAGTTTTGTAAATGAGAAAAGTTTTTACTGAGATCTTTGTGGACTGGAAGGAGAGGTCTCTGGTAACCTTACTTAGCCTATTGCGTGGAACCATATATGAGCATCTACTCCTTCCAATTCAATTAAAGTTATTGGCATCAGTGCAGAATCTGGGACCAAAACTACAGTAATATTAATTGGTGGCTTGACCCTCCATCATTCCACTTCTGCACCCCATGTAATTTTCCCCCACCCATCCTTTTTCCAGCTCAACCTTCTTCAAGCAAATAAATGTTGCGATTTCAGCTAAAATTCATTGGGGTACAACTCTGTTTTCCCAGTTGAAACAGAATACAAGTGGGTAGGAACTGGGCTCAGAAAGAATGCAGTAATTAGTTTGTTAAGCTACTGTGAATCTGGGGGTGGCATTTGGGAGATCCTGTCTCTGTCTCTCTTATCCACACATACACATACTTTCTTCTCTATACATGAACAGACACACACACCTACACACATTTAAAATATCTTGTCCGGTTATGCAAGCAAAGCTGCATATTGGAAAAGAAGAAATCTATCAGGCAGAGATCATTACAACTAATGCAAAAATTTTTAAAACATCAACCAGCATAGTTAAAAATGTTATCAACATACTCCAGGAATTCAAAGTTGGACTTCTTGTCTAAAGCGTTGTGGGGCATATCCTTGTAGAATCTCCTGCAAAAAAATTGGATATTAAAGCTTGCATGATTCCTAATTCACCACAACACTCACACTGATGTTTTCAAATTGAAGTTTCCCATCATCAACCGAATATCATTCAGTATTATTGTCTGATTGAAGCATAATGTTGGATATTATTGTGATTTGTTTTGCTATAGCTAAATGTGAAAACCCACCTATTAAGAGTTAATGCCTCATGCAAACCAACCCATTATAGTTTAGCTTGATGTACAAAACTCATTCACCAAAGCTTGTTCAGTAAACTGTAGTTAACAATATCCTGCCTTATTGTTATGCAGGAGCTCACCAATTTCTTATAATATTCCTCCCTTGTTGCATCCTTTCAGATTTCTGGCTTTGCTTGTATTTCTTGAACTCATGCTTCCTCAGATCTTTCTTCTTGCCAATGTCCCAGCTTCAGGATTTTGGTTCTTGTTTTGCAAAGATCACTGTGCAAGCCACAAGAGTTTGACCCTGCTCACATGTTTTCCAAACATGGTTGTGTCAGATGCAATCTTTTGCTTAGCAAGTACATACCTAAGCTCCAGGCAGCCTAGTTGTAGGGCCATCCCCTCACTCACTTTGCTCGCATAAAGTTGCATGTATTCACTCCGGAGCTGAAAAACACAAATAAGATGGTCAGTTAAGGATCCCAGGTCCCTACCGGTGCTCACTACTCTTTCCCAAAAGCAAAGGTAAGTGGGTGTTCTTGCACAGAACAAAACACCAAGGGCCTTAAGTAAATTGATGAAATGCATTTTAATAATAAATATTTATTTATTTAAATTACATCTTCAGCTAAAGCATGCTGGCAGGGCAATTTTGGAAGTTGAAGTCTACATGTTCTAAAGTTACCAAACTTGAAAAAAATTGAATTAGAACAGGGGTCCCATGTATTATTTGTCCATATGTTTATTTGAAAAATTAATAAAATTTGTAAAATCGAGAACAGGGGTCCCAAACCCTTGGGCTGCAGACCAGTACCAGTCCATGGCCTGTTAGGAACCAGGCTGCACAGCTGGAGATGAGCGGTGGGTAAATGAAACTGCGCATGTGTGGGACCTAGGTTGGGCACTCCTCCCCCTCCAGTCCGTTGAATAATGGTCTTCCATGAAACCGGTCCCTGGTGCCAAAAAGGTTGGGGACTGCTGAATTAGAGGATGTGATGAAGTTGCATTAGCAAGCACAATGGAAGGTGCAATCTCACACATTCAACAAAGTTGCACCAGGGACAGCTCTTTAAATAGGGACTGCAGTCCTCGGAGACCAACCTGTTGGTAGAAGTACAGAAGCGTTGTCCGGTCCTCTTGGAAGCGTTCAACATAATCTTCAGGGAGGTAGCGGACCTGGAGATCATACCTTAAACACCATACCAAACTTTTAAGTTAAACCAGCGTTCTTCAAGTTTAGTGCTCATATTTAGCAGACTACAAAATCTGGCTTCCCCAACTAACAATATCTTATTGTGGCTCTCTTTTCCATAATGCCACTTCTACTGCCAGTATAACTTGTATTAACTATACATTAGTATTATATGGATATTTTTTCCTTAGTTTCTTCCCCTATCTTAAGTTTTATTTTAATCACTGTATCATTGTCTCATCGATGCATTGTTTGTTTCATTGTACTAATGAAATTAAAACAAACAAACCTCTTTGGAGATGAGACTTGCTGGGAGAAAACAAGTATAATAAGACATCTCAGAAAAACTGAACTTTGCCCCTGTTTCTTTCAGTACCTAAGAATGTAGCTAATCTGGAAAGATTGGTCATAATAATAATAATAATAATAATAATAATAATAATAATAATAATAATAATAATAATAATAATAATAATAATAATAATAATAATAATAATAATAATATTATTTGTGTTGGCAGGGGGGCAGAGGTCGACCTCGAGGTGCCTCACTTGTGGGGTACCGCAGGGGTTGGTCCTCTCGCCTCTCCTGTTCAACATTTATATGAAGCCACTGGGTGAGATCATCCGTGGTTTCGGGGTGGAGTTTCATCAGTACGCAGATGACACCCAGTTGTACATCTCCACCCCGGACCACCCCAACGATGCCGCGGAAGTGATGTCCTGGTGCCTGAGGCCATGCGAGTCTGGATGGGGAGGAACAGGCTTCGACTCAACCCGTCCAAGACCGAGTGGCTGTAGTTTCCGGTGTCACGACATAGCCAGTTGGCTCCATCCCTGGCTATCGGGGGCGAGTCATTAGCCCCCGCGGAGAGGGCCCGCAACCTGGGCGTCCTCCTGGATACTCGGCTGTCTTTAGACGACCATATGACAGCCGTGGCCAGGGGGGCTTTTCATCAGGTTCGCCTGATACGCCAGTTGCGCCCCTTTCTGGATCATGACGCTCTACGCACGGTCACTCAAGCCCTCGTTGTTTCCCACCTGGACTATTGCAACGCTCTCTACATGGGGCTCCCCTTGAGGTGCACCTGGAGGCTCCAGCTAGTTCAGAATGCGGCCGCGCGGGGGATCCTGGGGGCCTCTAGATGCTCCCATGTAACACCTCTCCTGCGCGAGCTGCACTGGCTGCCTGTGGCCTTCCGGGTGCACGTCAAGGTGTTAGTAACAACCTTTAAAGCACTCTGTGGCAATGGACCTAGGTATTTGCAAGACCGCCTCCTACCAAACACCTCCCTTCGACCAGTCCACTCCCACAGAGAGGGCCTCCTTAGGGTGCCGTTGGCCAGACAATGCCGGCTGGCGACCCCCAGGGGGAGAGCCTTCTCTGTCATTCCTGCCCTCTGGAATGACCTACCCCCCGACCTACGTACAACTACGGACCTGCGCCTCTTTCGCCGAGCCCTGAAGGCCCATCTATTCCATGCGGCCGGCCTGGCATAGTTTGATTATGTTTTAGTGGGGGTTTTGTATGGGGTACTTTTAGAACAGGCCTGTTATTTAATTTGATTTTACAACAGAAACTTGTGTATATTTATCGTGGTTTTATTATCGCCTGTTCACTGCCCTGAGTCCTGTAAGGGAGATAGGGCGGTATATAAATTCAATAAATAATAATAATAATAATAATAATAATAATAATAATAATAATAATAATAATAATAATAATAATAATAATAATAATAACGATAAAGTTGGAAGGGACCTTGGAGGTCATCTAGTCCAACCCCCTGCTCAGGCAGGAAACCCTATACCATTTCGGACAAATGGCTGTCCAGTCTCTTCTTAAAAACTTCCAGTGTTGGAGCATTCACCACTTCTGGAGGCAGGTTGTTCCACTGGTTAATTGTTCTAACTGTCAGGAAGTTTCTCCTTAGTTCTAGGTT